CCCCCCCCCCCAGCCCTAGGTGCACTCTATAAGCTTCCTAATGACCTTCTTTGACAAAAAACGGCCCTGTTTTTGCAAAAAATGGCCCATATTTTGCTTGTTTTGCCCCCCCCCCCAGCCCTAGGTGCACTCTATAAGCTTCCTAATGACCTTCTTTGACAAAAAACGGCCCTGTTTTTGCAAAAAATGGCCCATATTTTGCTTGTTTCCCCCCCCCCGGAACACTCTACAAGCCTCCTAAGGGCTATTCATACTCCCTTTTTTGAAGGAAAAAAAAAACAGGCCCCTTTTTTGCAAAAAAGGGCCGTTTTGGGGAAGTTTGCAGAATGCAAAACTTTTTTTTTAATTTGCCTCTTCAAAACCTTGGTGCGTCTTATACTCCGAAAAATGCAGTAGCTATAGATTCAACCATAGTTTCAGCTGAGAAACTGAGTACGCTAGACCAAATCTAGTCCAAAAGTGCTAAGGAATTTGTGGAAGCTTGGCATTCATGGTGGCACAATGGTTAGAGTGCAGTACTGCAGGCTATTTCTGCTGATTGCCGGCTGCCTGCAATTTGGCAGTTCAAATCTCACCAGGCTCAAGGTTGACTCAGCCTTCCATCCTTCTGAGGTGGGTAAAATGAGGAGCCAGATTGTTGGGGGAAAATATGCTGTAAACATATAGGTTGACTCTATAAAGCCGCTTAGAGAGGGCTGTGAAGGACTGTAAAGCGGTATATAAGTCTAAGTGCTATTGCTGTTCAGGCAAATCAGCTATCAGTATACACATAGAGATAAAGCACATTTAAATGGCATTCAAAGGAGACAATAAAAAAGCTGCCAATTAAAGAAAAAGACCAGTTTTTTTTCCAGCGGCTAACACCAGATAAGCAGAGATTAACACCATGCAAACAATCAAGCAGAAAACAATGCCTAATCAAGGAACTCCCAAGAATAAAGTCACCCCACCCCCCCGCCAGCAACATTGGCAGGGCGAGCTACTGTATATAAACAGGGAGCAAAACCCCACACTCACAAGCTACTGATGATGTTGCCGACGGTAGTTTCATAATGAAATGTCTGCAACTAAGCAACCAAGCTCAGAAAACGCCGAGAACTCCCCAAACCTCTAATTTGCTCAGGTTGGGCCTTTGTTTCCAGGTCCACCCATTATCAGCGCTGAATCGAGCCAGCAGACAGCAGTGGGGGCCAAGGCCCGTCTGGAATGCTTGGTGGAAAGCGTGCCGCGGCCGGACAGGATCGTAAGTATTTCAATCTTTTAGTTACCTTCCATTGGCCTGACATTCGATCACACCCAGAGTACAGCATCCAGTTTTGGTCCCCACACTATAAAAAAAGATGTTGAGACTCTAGAAAAAAGTACAGAGAACAGCAGCCAGGATGATTAGAGGACTGGAAGCTAAAATATATGAAGAACGGTTGCAGGAACTGGGCATGGCTAGTCTAGNAGTCGCCAGTCGGCATTGGCCGGCAGATGGAACTCGGAGGAGGCCTAATCTGTGGGATCTAATCGGTCTAGTGGAGGTGATTGGCATGGCCACGCCCACCCAGCAACGCCCACCCAGCAACTGGGCAGAGAACCCCTGGCTAAAACTTTTGAAGCCCACCCCTGCCTCCCTGGTCTTCTTTGAATCTCAGGAAAAGGACATTGTGCTTGGTCATTAAGGGAGACACGGTCAACTGAGGCAACTTGTATTCACAGGTGCTGAGTAACGGCAACACACTGCATCTCAAGGCAGTGACCCAGGAGGACGCCGGGGTGTACATGTGCAAAGCCATCGTGCCGCGCATTGGAGTGGCCGAGAAAGAAGTGACCCTGGCTGTGAATGGTGAGGGTTCAAGGCTCGGAAGGGCAAATCTGCCAAAGTGGGGTGGAGCGGGTAGATGGTTCAAACCATTTCCCAAATGGAGGGAGGGGGGGAATTGCTGTGAGGAAAGAGGAAAGCTATGACTTTCCCATCCTCATTTATTCATCAGCCATCCCATTGTAATCAAATCACGACTCCCTATCAAGTTCAATTCATTCGCTCGTTCAAGTTTATACGGGCTTCATCTCAGTGTAGATGGCTTGGCAATGAACAGCAGTCAGATTATAAGCAGCAAATCAAGCAAAAATTTAAAGTATGAATGCATATCACAAAACATCATAAAAGCTAGAAATGCAAACCCCCAGGTGAGAGGGGATAAAAATGGCAACCTTGTCGATGAAGCCATCTGAGCTAGTCTCCAGTTGCCTGGGCAGCTCCACGCCTAAGACCATATCTGGGTCTTCAGGAGCTTCTGAATGAGGAGCTAAGAGGTCTAATTTCCAATAGAAAAGAATATATGGAGCTCTCTCCTTGGTGATCTTTGAACTTGTGTCTGCAACATGCAACAATCTACAGTATTGTAAATGCACTGTGCATCTGCAGCATCTGCATATTCATCCACAACATTCGTATGTATATCTGTAGCATACTGTATTTTTCAGACTATAAGACGCACCTAGCTTTTGGGGAGGAAAACAAGGGAGAGAAAATCTGTCTCTGCCTCCCAGCATCCATCCGGTATTCATCTATTTGCTGCAGCCCATTTGCCGCCGACCAATAGCAATAGCAATAGCAGTTAGACTTATATACCGCTTCATAGGGCTTTCAGCCCTCTCTAAGCGGTTTTACAGAGTCAGCATATCGCCCCNTAAGACCACATCTAGAGTACTGCATCCAGTTTTGGTCACCACACTATTAAAAAGATGTTGAAACTCTAGGAAAAAGTGCAGAGAAGAGCAACCAAGATGATTAGGGGACTGGAGGCTAAAATACATGAAGAACAGTTGCAGGAACTGGGTAGTTTAATGAAAAGAAGGACCAGGGGAGACATAATAGCTTGTGTTTCAATATTTGATGGGCTGCCACAGAGAGGAGAGGGTCAAGCTATTTTCTAAGGCACCCAAAGACCAGACAAGGAATAATGGATGGAAATTGATTAAGGAGAGATTCAAATTAAAAATAAGGAGAAGTTTCCTGACAGTGAGGACAATCAACCCATGGAACAGAAGTTGACTTCGGAAGTTGTGGGAGCTTCATCACTGGAGGCGTTCAAGAAGAGATTGGACTGCCATTCGTCAGGAGTGGTGTAGGGTCTCCTGCTTGGGCAAGGGGGGGTTGGACTAGATGACCTATAAGGTCCCTTCCAACTCTGTTAATCTGTAAATAGCCAAGAACAAATCAACACAGAGTTTGCAACTCCAAATCACTTTCCCAGGGAGCTTCGTTTTCAAACCCTGGTGAGAGGTTGGTTTTTTCCCCCCTCCAATGAGTCTGCAAACAAACAAGACAAATTAGATTTGCAAATGTAGACAGGTAATAAATAGCTTTTCTGAGCTGGTGATGCCCAATTATGCCCGCTTTCTCTCACTCCCTTCCTCTTCCTCTCTCCCTGGGCTTTGCAGTCCTTTCTGTCAGGGTTCCAAACAGCATCCAGAAGTAAATCAGAGTCCAAGGCAAGGAATTGCTCAAAGTTCCAATGTATTAAGAGAGACATGTTGGCACATCTGGGAAAACTCGAATCTGAAAGCTTCCCGGTTTCCCCCACCCAGTTGAAAGTTCAAGATCTTGTCCCCACATCCACAAGTACACCACATGGTCCAATCTTCCACTGCCATGCTGGCAGTTCCACCCATCCAGATCCGGTCAGGTGCAGAGGTGCAAAGACAAAGGATGACCTTGACTTTCTAGAAAGAATGTTGTTATGGCTACATAGCATCTAACTCCGTACAATCCCCCCTCCCATTTTCCCACAACACAGCTGGTGATGTCCAATTATGGTATGAGCCACGAGTGAAAAAAGTCAGCCAAGAGGTTTATTTTTGCGAAAAGGACTTCCAGAGGGAAGCTGCTACCTAGATGATCTCTCTGTAGACAGGTAGTCCATGGCTGAACGACCACAATTGAGTCCGAAATGTAGAAATAAATTAAATAAAAATGGAATAGCATTCTTAATTGGACATCACCAGCTGTGTTGTGGGAAAATGGGAGGGGGGATTGTACGGAGTTAGATGCTATGTAGCCATAACAACATTCTTTCTAGAAAGCCAAGGTCATCCTTTGTCTTTGCACCCTCTGCACCTGACCGGATCTG